AGATTGTGAATCTCTTACTCCCACATCAGTGAGCTGTTCAACTCATTCCCTGGGACTCTTTGCAACTATTTGCTCCTCAGCTGGTGTCAGCAGGCTTGAAGGCTTTACTGTTTGGCTCATCAGTAGGGCTTCTGTTTCTCAGGATTTATTTATTTTCATTGGGGGAGAGAGGAGAGGTATTTTTACCATTTTTTGAATATTATGTCAATGTATGCTCTTTCTCTTTGTATGCACTGTAGTGAGTAATGCATATTGTATAAGTTGCTCATTCCAGTAATATTTACTGTAACAAGAAATTTCTGTGTACTGTTCCCAATGAACAATAAAAACAAACAAAAAAATCTGAAATAAACCACCTAAACAAACACAAGCTAAATAAAATCTAAAGAATTAACATATGAATAAAATTTTAAAATGTATCCGAAACAGTTTTTTATCCCCAAAAGGGGAAAATGCCACAGACGTCATGAAATCCACTAAACACTTCATTATCACTTTTGATTTTACATGCAAAACACTCAAATACTACAATGTTAGGTTCCCCAGGGAGTGAACAGAACAGGCAATCATCAAGTAATCCTTTCCCTGTCACCCATTCCCAGCTTCTGGCAAACAGAGGGTAGGGACACTATTCCTAACCGTCTTGGTTAATAGCCATGAACTTATGGACAGGAAGTGATGGGTGATTAATGTCTAATAACAAACAAATATGGGAAAAGCACAATCAGTGCATGGGCAGAAAAATGTCAGGAGATTCAGACAGCACAGTCATTGTGCCTCCTTTGGATAGGTCATGGGATAAGCTCCCACCTGCCTCTTTTGGAGAATCTAATGCCATTGCGGGCAGCAGTCTGGTGTTGTCTTTGTGATCTGTGAGTGCAAAGTATCATCACTGCGCCTGACCCCTGTGCTGGGACACAGGAAAGGGGACCCAGTTGTTCCTTCCAATCTCTCTTTTCGGTTGATGCAGGAGCATGCTCACTTTAGCTCTGTATTTATAGTACCTATCTGTAATTTTACTATAATTAGTTTGGGACTGTAGTCTTGGAGGTTGGGAAGTGCAGTCCTTCGTAAGAATGGGAGGGCAACAACGAATGTCCCAATACAGCCAATGCCTATATCAATGTCTGATTAAACACAGTTCTACAAGAAACAGCTCATTACTCTGAAATGAAGTCTCATGCTGTAACTCAGGAGGCCAAGGCTTCCATCTAGCGGTGAAGTGTGGAGGCGCAAAGGTAGCTGTGAGCTGGAATTCAAATGGCTGAAACTCATGAAAATATTCATATTTAGTTGAGAGAGCATGACTTGCTGGCCTCAGATAAGGAGGGAAGGAGAGTGATCGGAAGGCTTCCTGTGAGTTAGGTTGCTGTTACATAACTCAGTGGGTTTGGAAGGAGAGAGGGACAGTAGAAGGAGGGGGAGACTCCAAAAAGAATCAAACCTAAACAGAATTCCAAAGTTGGGAAAAGGAAGGGGAAGAGACCAGAGAGGCAAAGGGAATATTACTTATGGTGAGGCGTTATCTCGTCTATTTTTAAAGATCAGGCATGTAATTTTAATCAGGTGGTGGGTGGTAATCATAAAGTATGACAGAGTGTGTAAGACAAGGGTGGGTATAAAAAGAAATGAGTCTAAATGAATTGGCCTGTGTTTCAAACTTAATCACTGAAAGCTGCCTTTGTCACTGACAGTGATGAGTACGATTTTCCTGGTCAAGATCATTCTGTCCAAAGCCCTTGAGCATATCTTATCTCTCACATGGTTTCGAAATGTAAGCTGTTTAATTTCTTCTTGAAGGAAGTGCAGGAGTGATGCACCAAATGGAGCCTTTCCTGGAAACAGTAATGCCTGTTACATGCTAACTATAGGCTGTATTGCATGCAGTGAACTCTGTAAACAAAGAGGGCTACTATCTTGCAGAAACAGCTTTTACTCCTTTGTGTGAAAAAAGTACCTTAAGCACATGGATTCAGACAGGCAATTTCATGATTTTTATCAAAAAAAGAATGTGGTAAACTCACATTGCACGAGAACTCTTAATATTTGCTTATATTGTGAGACCATGCTCCCTTATGGAAATAAATACATAAAAATGGAGAACGGCAAAGCTTGTTTGAAGCAACAGAAGCCAGAGCTGTCATGCAGAATATCGAAGTCAATAAAGTGTGCTGAACTGGGTTAAACAGGAGGATAATAGGTCAGAGTCAGCTATCAGGTACGGTGAGGCAGCTTCATTGGCTTACTAGAATAAATAGTTGTGGACATTTCTACAGTACCCATTTAGCTATAGTGACAAGCGACAGAAGCGCCTCATGGGAGGCTTAGGCTACTCCATTTTGAGTCAGATCTTTTGTGATCTTTTCATGCTGCTGGTTCTGACTATAATTTTGTCTGCCAACATTGCTTAACCAATGTTCGTATGTCATCATGCTCTCCTGGAGATGGTTTTATTAGTAACGGTTCTAAAAAGGTCACAAAAGGAGCACTCATTCCCTCAAGCTTTTCCATTTCTTCTGAGTTTTGTGGGTTTGTGCTGGTGCCCAGAGTATCAGTTCTGTGAGAGTCAGCTATTTTGGTTCATTGGAGTCATGAAAACATTTGCTTCAGTTTCAGTTAAGCTGGCTTCATACTCCCTGTGTTCTGCTGAAAACTTTCAAAGCAAAACATATTTAAAACTCTGTTTCACCCAATTTCGGGTTGAAACTACGAGTTCTGTCACTGTGTGGTTTTAGTGTAAAAGTATAAAGCTTCATGTGCCCTTAAACCCCAGGTTCACCTAAAGATGTGAAAATTTTAGTAACATGGTAACTAAACCAGACACGTATCATTTTGCTCCATCTGTCTGCTCACACCTAAATATGATTCCTGCTTTATCACCTGCCCAGAATATTTCATTCATGTAACTCTGTGACTGACATAGATGCTTGATGATCATGCAGTCTTGATGCTTTATGGATTACTCATTGTGCTAACAAGTGAAGCACTTAGGCTGAATCTGGTTGACTTGACTTTTTACCTACTGTAATCCTTAGATCCTTTTCTGCAGAACAGCATCTTAGCCAGTCGGTCATCAGCCTGTAGCTGTTCATAGGATTCTTCCATCCTAAGAATAGGGACTCTGCACTTGTCCTTGCTGACCCTCACTAGATTTCTTTTGGCGTAATCCTCCAATTAGTCTAGGTGATTCTAGACCCTATCTCTATCCTCCAGCATATATACCTCTTCCCCTGATCTGAGTGTCATCTGCAAACTTGCTGGGGGTACAATCCATCCCCTCATCCAGGTCACTAATGAAGATGTTGAACAAAACAAGCCCCAGGGTAGACCCCTGGTGCACTCAGCTTGATACTTGCTGCCTATTAGACATAGAGCTGTTGAACATTACCCATTGAACCCGATGATCTAGCCAGCTTTCTAGCCACCTTATAGTCCATTCATCCATGCCATACTTCTTTAACTTGCTGGCAAGAATACTATGGAAGGCCATATAAAAATATTTGCTCAAGTCAATGTATATCATGTTCATCGTTTTCCCCACGTCCACAGAGCCAGTAACCTCAGTAGGCAGTCAGGTTGGTCAGGCATGACTGGCCCTTGGTGAATCCATGTTTAAGTTCTGTTCAGTCTCAGACAGCCTGCTTGTCCTTTGCTGCCCAGTGTGCCCTGCTTCCCACAAACCATTCCACAACACATATTTTTGGGAAGGGAGGGAACAGGAAGTAGCCAGTTGGAGGGTACCCATGGTAGTGAAAAATGTTTATAGTTCATGTCCATAAGTCCTTGCCCAGAGTGGGTCTGGTACTGCTCCTGCTATTCTTTCCCTCTCTGTGGGGTAGGAGAAGGCCAGTCTGGCCCGGGTTTCAAGAAAGCCTCATGGCTGATGCCTGCCCCAAGTGTTGATGTGGCTTTTGCCAAACTCTGTCTCCATGGAGGATAGGGGCTGCTCTGGCAATTGCTACAGTAGGAATCCTTTGCAGGAAGGAAAAATATCATATCAGAGTCTAGTTGGAACTAGAAGTAGATAGTCCGGGGAAAGATCAGGACAGATCAGTGACATATTTGCCTCTTATGTACTCAATTTGCTAGCAAAATCCATCCATTATTTACTTATCACTAAGGAATCTCAAATATTTATTGTTTCTGCCACCAGAGGCTTTATCAATGAATTGATGGATGAGGCAGGCTGCTAGCCAGAACTTACAATAATTCCTCAGCCATCTCTGGAACAAAAGACCCAATAGGCAGAAGAGTAACCCCAGAGTGACCAATAAAGCCTTAAAAGGTTGCATACAAATTCCTCCAGTGAAGAAAGCAAGGCCAATTGTTTGTCCCTTAATCCTTTGTGATTTACTGAGAGCAAAACAGAGTTTACTTGTCAACTTGTCACAGAGATGAAGCTGACGAGAGCCATGGAGTTATTTAAGGCTAGGTACTGTGTTAATAAATGTGGCAACCCTTTGCCCTGTGTCACACTCTAAGAAATGCTGCCAGCAATAGTTACAAAGATGTTAGTAAAAGAGGGATTTTTTTGAGCATCACTACAGCTGTAGTTATTGATTTGTAGTGTAAGGCCTGTTAAGCCCAGATACTAGGAACGTTTAAATAAATGATGTTGAATCATAAAATCTTTTTTCTTATATCACCTTTGAAAGCATTCTTCTGTAGATAAACTGTACATTTGTAACCCCGCGAGCGATGGCTGTCCCATCCTACCCTTGCCCCGTCCCCTGAATCAGCCCACCGAGGCTTAACAATGTCGGTTCCGCCTCCGCATGGCCAGTACTCAAAGTTTTGCACAAGATTAGTAGGGTAAGCAGCAAGGGAAGGTAGGGGGGCTTGGGTTCCACCCTCTCTCTGAGCCCCACCCTCTCTCTAAGCCCCGACCCAGAGCCCTAAGGACCGGGGGGTTTCATCCCCAGGTCTGGTTGGTGGGGTTGTGACCTGCAGCACACCAACCCAAGGCTAATCCACAAGCTGTGCCCTGGGCCACTTCCTACCTTCCTTTGCACCCTTTGGCTGTTCCATCTGGATGGGTCTCCTTTCTCACGCCGGCGGTGCTCCTTTTGAACAGCCTGCTGGCACCACATCTGATATAGGGCAGGCTGCCGCTTCATGCTCAGCCCCTCCCCTTTCCTCCCCCCATGGTCAGAAGGGCTGTCTGGCCTTTCTGGCAGCTGCTGAACATGTGCGGCAAAGCTGGGGCCGGGCTCGCAGCACTGCCTCGCTCCAAAGCGCCAGGGACAGCGTGGGTAGCATGCAGGGCGCCGGGGCATCCCCGTCACACACCCTCACTCCTAATTCTGTCCCTATCCCATCATCCTTGTCATCTTTGGTCAATGAAAAAGAATCAGTGTTCCCATGTGCCTTACCCAGCCAGTGGGCGACCTCAGAGTGATAGGGCTGTAGTGAGAGATACCACCTCATCACCCTCAGGTTGGAATTCTTCATCGAGTGCATCCACCCCAGTGGTGCATGATCCGTTATCAACCTGAACGGGTTTCCTAGAAGATAGTATCTTAACAAGTCAATAGCCCATTTTACTGCAAGCACTTCTTTTTCTATCGTTGCATAATTCTGCTCTCTCAGGAAAAGTTTCCTACTCAGGTAGAAGATGGGGTGTTCCTTCCCTTCTACCTCTTGAGATAATACTGCGCCTAGGCCTAGCTCCGATGCGTCGGTCTGCACCAAAAATGGTTTGGAAAAATCCAGTTGTACTTTATCTCTTGGAACGTTCTTTCACACTGCAGGACCACTGAATCTTATTTAGTTGTGCGTTTCTCACTAGGTTAGACAAGGGGGCGGCTATTGTTGCGAACCTGGGCACGAATTGTTGATAGTAGCTGGCTCGGCCGAGAAACTGTTGGACTTGCTTCTTCATCTTTGGGCTTGGGTAGTCTCTTAGGGCAATGATCTAGTCTACCAGGGGCCTTATGGTCCCTCCCCCTACCGTATACCCAAGGTACGATACCTCTTACTGTCTGAACAGACACTTGCCCGGGTTAGTGGCAAGCCTTGCTTCCTGTAGCGCTCCCAGGATCACCTCTAAGTGGTGCCACAATAGGCTATATACCACTATGAAGTTAATATAAGCGGCCGCGTATTGTTGATGGTCCCTTAATACTCAGTCCATGAGCCTTTGGAATGTGGCTACCGCCCCATGGAGCCTGGATGGCATGGTTACAAACTGAAACAGGCTGAATGGTATGGAAAAGGCTGTTTTTTCTTAGATGCTGGCATAAGGGGGATTTGCCATTACCCTTTGGTTAAATCTAGGATGGAAATATATTGGGCTTTCCCTAACCGGTCCAGTAATTCATCAATCCGTGGCATGGGGTATGCGTCAAACTGTGAGATTGCATTGATCTTCTGGAAGTCTATGCAGAACCTGACTGACCCATTGGGCTTAGGGACGAGTATGATGGGACTATGCCATTCACTACGGGACTCTTCTATTACCCTGTGTTGGAGTATAGACTATAACTCCCCCCTTACAGTGTACATTTTTCTCGGGAAGGGCCAGACCACGTCCCGCACTTTCTTACCAGGTGATGTGGCAATGTGATGGCTCATCTGTGAGGTCCGTCCCGGCTGGGAGGATAACACTGTAGGGTTCTTCTGGAGCAGGGTCCGGAGCTCAGTTTGCTGCTCGGGGCTCCTAGCTGCACCGAAGTTGGTAAGTCCAAGTCGCCTATCCAGGGTCCCAACTCCGGCTCGGGTGGGATTGGCATCACAAGGAGTTGCTCCCTGGCATTCCACCTTGTCAGCAAGTTTATGTGATATATCTAGGAGTATTTCCATTTGCCTAACAGCTGAACTTCGTAGTCTACCTCCCCAGCCTGGTCCAATACCTTAAAGGGCCTTTGCCACTTAGCCATCAATTTAGAGTCTTTGGAGGGGAGCAGAAGTAATACACTATCTCCGGGTTTAAAGGTGTATAAGCTAGCCCTTTGATTATAATAATGTGCTTGTTTCTCCTGGCCTCTGGTTAGATTAACTCATGTAAATTATCCCAATTTCCAAAGCCTTTCCCTTATCTGTATTATATACTGAACTGACCCCGCGGCCCAAGGACTTTGTTCCTCCCAGGTCTCCCACAATACATCCAGTGTTCCCCAGGGTTGGCGACCATACAAGAGTTCAAAATGGGAGAACCCGGTGAAGGCCTGCGGGACTTCTCTCACGGCAAGTAACGATGCAGAAAGTAACCTATCCCAATTTCTTGGATCATCTTCTACGAACCAACAGAGCATTGATTTTAATATCCTGTTTAAATGTTCTACCAGCCCAGCTGACTGGGGGTCATATACGGACATCCTTAAGCTCTTAATATTTAACAGGCGGCACAATTCGTCCATCAATCGGGACGTCAAGTTTGTACCCTGGTCAGTCAAGACCTCTCAAGGGATTCCCACCCGAGAGAAGATCTTCATCAGCTCGGTGGCTAATGTTGGAGATGTGGTATTTCACAATGGGACGGCCTTGGGGTAGCGGGTGGTGTAATCCAAAACTACCATTATATATTGGTGACCCCCTCGTGACTTTTCCAGGGGGCCAACTATATCTAAGGCAATCCATTCAAAAGGTACCTCCACCATGGACAAAGGCACTAAAGGAAGGGCATGTCTCACAGAAGTTCTTTACTTATCTATGTATGCCGGACCAATAAAACCTCTGAAGGACTCGCTGCAGTGTCTTGTTGTGACCGAAGTGTCCAGCCCATGGGTTGTCATGGGCTAACTCTAATACCACCCTCTGATGGCGTGCTGGAACTAATAACTGGCTTGTCTCCTCCCTTCTCCCACCCAATATAGGTTTTCGGCATGTACCTCAAAATGGGGCCCTTGTGCCTGCATCTCCATCTGGTCCCTCTTTCCATCCAAGGTGTATTCCCAGGCTCTTTGCAAGGATGGGTCGTCTCGCTGTTCTTCGACGAAGCCTTTCCCTTCCAACACACCGTCAGGTGTAAGCTTCCTGTTGGGCTGGCTTTTCTCCTTCCCCTTCTGTGTTGAGCATCGCAGTCCCACTGTGTCCTCCTGGGCCCCTGCAGAATCTGCTTGGTTCAAGTGGGCCTGCCCCTTCAATTCCTTCCTGTTCCAGACCCTCCAAATGTGCCAAAATCCACCCCAGTCCCATCCCAATATAACCGGGTAAGCGAGCTTTGGGGCTAAGGCCACTCTGCAAATTGTTTCCTCCTCCCCTTCGGCCAGATGGACACATGCGGTTGGGTAAGCCCACACTTCCCAATGCACACATTGCATATGCAGTGGGGGCTCTGCCAACTGAAAGTACCTCACCAAGTCTGCCCTCACGATGGTTTGACTACTGCCTGTGTCTACAAGGGCCTCCACTGTCGTGCCCTCCACCCAGACCCTTACCATTATTCTCCCTCCCCCTCCAGGCTGTCCCCCTGGGCTTACCATCAGCACTTGCCCAAAGGAGCAGTCCATGAACAGGCAGTCCCGTCTAAAATGGCCCTCTTGGCCGCACACAAAACACACGTTCTTGGGTCCTGCCCTACTCAGTAGAGTAGGATTACCTTCTTCGGGACCAGCTTGCACTCTTGCGGGGTCCTCTCTTGAAGGGCCAGGACACACAGGGGCCAATCGTCATCCTCCTCCACTTTCCCCCAGCCCTAGGGCTACTTTCTCTTGATTCTCTCTGCCCTTTCGGAACCTGGCCATCCCCCTCTGTGGGGCCGGCGTCTCTCTCCTCGGTTTACCTTTCTCCTCTATTCCCGCTGCAGCCAGGTAGTCTTCCGTGAGGCCCACAGCTTTGTTGAAGGAGGTGGGGCGGTGTCTCTGGACCCATCACTACTCCTCCGTGGGCAGGATCTGTATAAACTGTTCTAGGAAGACCATCTCCTCCACCTGCAACCCAGTCTTCTGATTGGGCTCCAATCAACGTCAGCCAGATTCCCGGAGCTTCTGAGCCATGGTCCTCGGGCACGCCCCAGGGGGGTAGTGCTCCTGGTGGAACCTCTGTTGATAGGTCTCCGGCATAACCTCTAACTCAGGGGTTCTTAACCTTTTTACCTTCACACCTCCCCTGAAAGTGAACTTCATGTTCACACCCGCCTGGGAGCCATTTTGTGCACAACCTAGCCCCGCCCCCTCACATGACAGGAAGCTAAGGGACATGGCTAGGACGATAAGAACTCTGCCAGGGAGCTCAGTAAGGGCCCAGCCTCTGAGGGAGACAGAGGCTTGCCCAGAGCTCCTGGCTGACGAGGCTGAGACCTGGCCCAGGCCTCCACAGCCGCCTTCCCTCAGGCCAGTGAAGGCTTCCCTGCCTGGACCGCTGAGGCCTGGCCAAGCTGCCCAGCAGGGTTACCCTCTGACCCAAGGCTCTACTGGTGTCTGGCGATTCGGAGGACCAGCCTGAGCTGAAGGCCCGGCTCGAACCCCGAGGCCTGCCTGAACCCTGGGACCTCGCGAACCAGCCATCCAAGCTAATTCCCAAGTCCGACAGCTGGTGGCGCTGTGGGGTGAGTGAACCCCGTTACAATGCCTAATTGAATAATATCAGCTTTTTACTTTGAACCTTTTCCTAACAAATTTACGTAATATTTGAAGATGAAAGTTGGCAATGCTCGCGTACTGTTATTGTAGTGTGTCGTCACATAGGCCTGATTGATTCGCACTGCTATTGTAGTGTGCCGATCTCTAGAAGTTAATAAGAAATTAATGTTTATAATTTTCATTCATAATATTAATTATGAAGAAATCTAAAAACTTTAGAATTTTATCCAGTGAGAAGGCAATTGCGATACATTTTTTGGGAGGCACCTCACACTTCCCCTATATCCCCTTCACACCTCCCCTGGGGAGGCGTACCTCACTGGTAAAGAACCCCTGCTCTAACTGATCTAGGATCGCCTCCTTGACCTTGTGGTAGTGGAGGGCCTTCTGCAGGCTGTGGTAGACTAACTGGGCTGGCCCCGACAAATAGGGGGCCAGGAGGGTAGCCCACTGATCTTCTGGCCACCAGGCTATGGCGGCCACTTTCTCA